TTTTTTTTTTTTTTTTTTTTTGTGTGTGTGTGTATGAGAGAGAGAGAAAGAGAGTGAATGATGCATGCCCAATGGGACAATGCGTGGGGAGCCAAGGATCCGCAATGTGATGAAAAGGACTGAAATGGACGATGCAAGGTCAGCGTAGCATCAACAAGCAATGTACATTCCGATACATACAAGATGGGACAAAGTGGCGCAGTGGAAGACTTAAAGAGAAGATCTGATCTGATCTAGACTGACCCGACATCCATCATACATCACACATGTGAGAGGGGAGGAGGGACCGCGAACATAGAAGAAAAGGTCCCTCCGTCACACACATACATGGGGAGATACCACGGATGCGAGATGGGGGAAAGGGGAACGAGACGAAGGAGGGGGAGGCGAGGGAGTAGACCAAGATCGCGATAGCGAAGTCCCAAAAATAGTCCCTTGCCGAGTGTCCAATCAATGTCTGTCCCAGAAATGTCGAATCAGATCCCGGGTAATGTGCCCAACATAACCTTTGCCTGTAATCCCTACCGATGACCTCTCTCACTCTCATAGACGAAGAAGAAGGTAAGAAAGAGGAGGAAAAGGGAGAAGGGAGAGAGAGAGATGGAGGAGGAGGAAGAAGAAGATGATGTCCTCCTTGCTTTCTCACCTGCAGGTGGCTATCACTGTACTGACTGTGGTCGTCGTTGTGTGCAGGTACCGCACGCAGCCCAGCTATGGCGCCAGGTAAGTTCGCCGCTTGCAGGTAAGGCCTCCCCCTCTCTCTACTACCTACTCCGCTACTCCCTACTCCGTAGCTTGGCATAGAATAGCGCTGCCTCCAACCAGCAGCGTGTCGCTCCAGAAGTGAGCTACTCGAACTGTCCTTGCCCAGCCGCTGCCCAGCTATTTGTAGCGCTGGGCGGGCTGGGCCTACCTGCTGCTGGCCTTAGAAAACGGCCCGGCTGGTCTGGGTCCCTACCGGACGTCCAGACCACGCTGTTGATGCAGCAAGGCGCAGAAATGTGTCTGGCCTAAAAGCGACCCTGTTCCTGTGCACCTAGCCCAAGGCGTTGCCTTGGGACCTACAGGACCGAAACGACGTCTGTTTGGCGCCAAAATGCRCCTGGCCTCGTTTCGGGCTTGTCTCTGGTACCCAGTCCCAAGGTCCGGCCTTGGGGCTGCAAGTACGAAACGGCATCTGAACAGGCAAAAATAAGACAACACACACACACCAAGCCTATCTACCTAGTGTGCTACCTAGGGCCTGAAGGGCCGCCCTGGGCCTCCAGGGCGCGTGCTGTATGGTACGCGGCCTGGGGGCCCCTCAGCAACCGTCGAGCCCCTCAAATGGGGCCCGTGTACAGGCGCAGCATGTAACTCCCCCCCCTCCTTATGAAGTCAAGCCGGGTCGAGGGCGAGTGCGGCGTGGAGCCGAAGATGCCGGCTTGCCTTGCAACTTGCGTTCGTAGTGTGCGAGGACATCGGGAGCAGTTGCTTGAAGTTCCGCACGGGTCAACCATCGGTCAGCTCTATGGGTGCAATATGCAAAATGGACCAAGAATTCAGTCGGCCTGTTGCCATAACGTCGCTGGGATATGATGTGGCCAACCTCTTGGAAACCGTCCATCGAGGGTGGGTCTTGTGATCGTCGCCCGGGAAAGTCGTCAAGATTCGCTGGCGTGTAGAGAGCCAACTTGGAACAGTGAAAGACCGGGTTGACGGGCAAGTGGGCGGGCACCTGAATGACAAATGAAGGTCCTTTGGGTGCGTCCCCAGCGGGTGCCACGATCGGCCAAGGCCCCATCCATTTCGGAAGGAGCTTGCAAGAGATATCTTGTTCTAGGCTGAATTCCGCAGCGGAAACCCATACGAGGTCGCCGGCGTGGAACGGACAAGGAAGACGATGGCGGTTGGCCTGTTGGCGCATACGTTGTTGCGTCTTTGACATCTGGTCGTGTGCCTTGACAAGAAGCTCTTGCATCCGACGAATGAAGAGAAGATGGTCGTCGCTCTTGGCCGCCCATGGGATGATTGTGTCCAACGGACAATTGACCGGCGAGCCATGCTCGAACTCAAAGGGCGACATCCCGATAGCCGAATGGATGGACGAGTTGTATGCCAACTCGATATCTGGCAGCCGGTCGACCCAATCCTTTTGGTCGGGACGGATGAGAGTGCGAAGAAGGACCTGTGCGGTCTGGTGTGCCCTCTCCGTTTGGCCATCGGTTTGGGGGTGGCGAGCCGAACTCGGCTTGAGGGATGAGCCCCATCGTTTGATTAGCGCCAACCAAAAGTCGGACATGAACCGAGTGTCGAGGTCGCATACGATTTCCTTGGGGTAACCCTTGGTTCGAATCCAACCGGCGTAGAGAACCTCGGCCAACTCCGGTGCCTTGGCGTGATAGCGGCAAGGCAAAAACATGGCAAACTTGGTGAGTCAGTCAACCACCGTGAGAATCCCATCCACACCCGTCTTGTGCTTGGGGAACGACCCGGTAATGTCCATGGCAATCGCTTCCCTTCGACGCAAGGGGACCGGTAATGGTCGCAGTTCTCCATATGGACGATGATTGCGGGGTTTGCAACGTCAGCAGACCTCGCATGACTCGCAACAGCGCGTGACGTCGTCGAGAAGACCGGGCCACCAAAAGCGCTCGCGGAGTCGGCCAATCGTGCGATTGACTCCAAAGTGTCCGGTGGCGGGGGCGTCGTGGAACTCGCCAAGAAGCCGCGTGCGCAAGTGTGAATCTTGCGGCACACAAAGTAGATCCTTCCCCCGCGAGTGAACGAGCAAGTATCCCTCTTGGATCCGATAGTGCGAAGGCGCCGGGTTGGGAGAGGAACAATTTGCGTACTTGTCTCGAAATTCGAGGTCGGCTTGATAGTCGCGGATGAAACTGTCCCGCAAGTCATCCTCTATCTCGAAGGTTGAGTAGACCGCGGTGCAGTGGTCCGGACGCCGTGAAAGAGCATCCACAAAACGGTTTGAATTCCCCGGAATGTGATCGGGAAAGAAGTCGAACTGGTCGATGAAAGCCATCCAACGGGCGATCGTGCTGTTGACGGTGTCTTGGGTCTTGTAGAAGACCAACACATTGTTGTCCGTTACCCATCGGAATTGGCGTCGACCAAGGAGGAAGTGCCGCCACTGCTTGAGTGCGCGGACGAAGGCGAGAAGTTCCTTCTTGCGTGCATCATCGATTGAGTGCACGACCGACACTTTCTTGCCGAAGTACTTGACCGGGTGCCAGTCCACGCCATCATGTTGTTCGAGGACGACACCAATGCCATAGCCAGACGCATCCGTAGTGACGCACGTCGACAATAACGGGTCGTATATTCGCAAGACTTCCGAAGACAGCAATGCAGCCTTAAGGGCCCAAAATGATTCCCGCGCATCCGTCCCGAAGTCAAATGGTCGGTCCTTGCATTGAAGCTTGGATAAGTGGGCCGCGATCTTCGAGTACCCTTTGATGAAACGTTGGTAGTAGCCAGCAAGGCCAACGAACGAACGGACATCCGTGACGTTCCGCGGCTCCGGCCAATCTTGGATGGCTTGAATCTTGTCCAACAACGGAATGATGCCTTGAGGAGTGACGAAATGGCCCAAGTATTCCAACTCTTGACGTACGAACTCGCACTTGTCGCGGTTGGCTTTGTACTTGGCGCGACGGAGTGTCTCCAACACTCGTCGAAGATGCTCGAGATGTTCCTCCAAGGTCCGGCTATAGACGAGGATGTCGTCCAAGTAGACCAGCACGAACCGGTCTAGCATCGCACGAAACTCGTTGGTCATCGCCGCTTGAAAAGTCCTTGGGGCGTTGGTGAGTCCGAAAGGCATGATGACCCATTCAAAATGCATGTACCGTGTCTTAAACGCAGTCTTGTAGCGATCTTGCGGGCGTATTGAAATCTGATGATACCCCGACTTCAAATCCAATTTGGAAAAAAAATTGTGTTGCCCAAACGCTCCAGAAGGTCGTCAATACGAGGAAGAGGTCCCGCATTCTTGACGGTTTGTGCATTGAGCTTGCGGTAATCGATGCATAGGCGAAGATCCTTGTTCCGTACGAAGAGAACCGGCGCACCATAGAGTGAGCTACTAGGCCGGATCCAGCCTTTGTCCAACAAATCATCGAGCTGCGCGCGCAGTACTATAAGTTCCTCCTCGCTCATGCGATAGATACACCCTTTCGGCAGCGCGGCACCAGCCTCGAGAATGACCTCGTGGGAGATCGGCCGATCCGGCACCACGCCGGTGGGTGACTCGAAGATGTCGGCGAATTCGTAAAGCAACCGTACCACACGGGGGTCCGAAGACAAGTCCGTGGGTTGAGATTCGACTGCCACGACGGTGCGAAGAAAACATAGGCCTATCTCGTCGGTCCGCTCATAAGCGCAATTGGCCCGAAAAGATTTGGCCGTCACGACTTGGCACCAGATCGAAGGGTGTGGAAGAGGGATGGTACATGGCACTTCGACGCCAAACGCGTCGCGGACCATAAGTGTTCGCCGATGGAAGTTGACCGTGTGATCTGCACTTGCAAGCCAAGGCATGCCCAAAATGATGTCGAAGTCCGTGTTCAAGACGTCAAACGTCACCGGTTCGCATGCATGCGGTGCGAAATAGACCGGTACGGCCTCGATGTAGCGGTCAAGGAGTTGTTGCGTTCTACCGTCCGCCAACTTGATTGTCGTAGGGTGTGCCTTCCTTCGAACTTGTGGGCCAAGGCCGACCATTTGCATAAAGGACCAGCTAATGAAGTTGTGAGTCGCGTCGCTATCCAGCAAAGCGCTGCAGGACGCTTGCCCAACTTGGATGCGGACGTAAAGGAGCGGTGCATTGTTGTCGTCCTACCCGCTGCGTGCGAAACTCGCGGGCCACCTTGCTAACATACGCAAGGATGTCCCCCACCGCGACTCCGTCCTTCGTCGGCGAAGTTGGTGGTGCATAGAAGGCTAGGTATGTATGTAGATCAGCGCTAAGAGTTGCGCATTGCGGCTCCGGTAAGCAACCGGTGGAAGACAGAGGAAGCCATGCAAAATCCTCGGGCGTCAATGGGTCCAAGTCCTCTATGTTGAACGCGCGCGCCGAATCCCGTGAAGGTCCACTTGAAGACGACTCAATGCCGCTGCTTCCCAACGGCGAAGAAACCGCACATACATCCTGTCCTTGGGCTCGTGAATTCAGCGAAGGCACGAACCGGGCAGCATAGTCCTCGAAAGAATGAAGAATGGGAGGACTTACGACTTCCGCATTTGCCCCGGAACCGAGGGAGGTTACCCGTAAGGCAACCGGTTCCGAAGGCGTCGAGAGTGTCGTCGCATCACTCTCGGCGGTGCTCACTTTCCCGACTGAGCGGGGCCTTTGGCTTTCGTGGGACAGTTCACGGTCTCATGCGCCGCGCAGTTGCACCACAAACAATAACGGTACTTACTGCGGACGCGATACCCGCGCTCCGTCAGACCGTATTGTGTCCAAGGTTCTTGAGCTGGAGCTGCTTCTCCGAGCCCAGAAGAAGTGGTGTTTGTCTTCGTTTTGCCACGTCCTCGTCCTTTGGCGGGGCGGCCACCATTCTGGGCAGCTGCTAATCTGTCTCCCTTGACAGAAGAGGCAGCCTCGTTTGAAGTTGAAGGTTCGCTTGGCGTTGCTGCCGCGACCACGGCCACTTTCGGCCGATGCTGATACGTGCCCTGGCCGGCTGTCTACGAACGGCCAACGTTCTTGGCTTCCAAGTTCTACACGGCCTTGTTAAAGAGTTCCTGACTTGTGTTGAGGTTCTCGGCGACCTGAGTAAACGCATTTTGCAACGTTGGGCAGGACCTTTTGATGAAGTAGAGCTTGATGCCGGCGAAGTTCAGCGGCAGCTTGGGCGTGCTTGCCAGGCGTTGGAACTCAGATATCTAGTCTCCGCTTGGCATGATGTTCTGTGTGAATGTCAACAGCTTGTCCATCGCCTGATGCTCGAGCGGTTCCACTTGGAAACGCTTCTTCCATGCTGCCGTGAGATCAACCCAGGTGATGAAGTTGTGTAACTCGGAGATTGTGCATGCATGTGCGGACAACATGTTGTCCAGCCATGCCCGGCACGCACCTCCTGACCGGGAGTGCAAGTATGCGTGCCGGTTTGTGTTGACGACATGGTGGATGTCCAACTTTAATTCGAACTGGCGCCACCAAGGTATAGGCTCCGTCTTTGATGCATCACAGAAGATCGGGAGCCCCTCAAATTTGGGAATGCTCTCGCAAGGCACTGAGCTCGGTGTGGCTGCTGCCCCCACCTGCTGGTCCAGCCGCTGTGTCTCGGTTTTGAGTGATCCCACGTCTATCTCCAGGACGTTGACGCGGTCGACAAGGTCGGAGGGGCCGGCGCTGGAAGTGGCGACTGGTCGCTGCTCCAGCTGCTGTATGCGCTTAGTCAGCGCCTGATTGGCATGGTCGAGAGAGTGAATGTCCTCCTGCTGTGCGATGCAAGTAGTGAAGAGGTCCGTGACGCGGTTGAGCAAGAGAGCAATCCTTGTCCCGTAGTCAACGGAGTCTCCATTCTCGGCCTCCTTCTGCCAATCCCTGGCCTGTGCGTGTAACGCAGTCTCCTCCCTGACGAGAATCTCCCGCCGCCGTACGCGTTCTTCATCGGCGGCCTTTGCTGCTGCTGCAAAGTGCTTCTGCCGTTGATCTTTGGCGATTTGACGCAGCCTCTCTGCCTCCGCCTCCCTCTTCTTCCGTGTTGCTGTTGATGCTTCTGCCCGTTGCTTGCTTTCGGCCATGGCCGCCAGACGTGTCTCATAGGACCCCGTCAGTCTCGTCGGCTTTCTGATCCATCCCTGCTGTATGTGAACGAGTGAGCAGGGTCATGCGCCGTGGGCGGCTGACGTGGCCTGCCAAAGTAGGTAATTACCAAGGCTGTAGCCAGAACTGATGGGCAGTTGAGCAAGAAGAAGAGGAGAAAGAGTTGGGTGGGAGACGTGGGGAGTGGGGGGATCAAGTGGATCGCCCAGATAAGGAGCCACTAATAAAAAAATGACAAGTTGGAACTTTGCAAAAATTTCGAGAAAATGAAAATATATTAAAAAAATTCTCGATTGCAAGCTCGGTAGGTCTCCTATTTTTCCCACAACAGGTAGTTCGAAAAAAAATTCGAATTTCAGACTGTCGATGCAAAGAAAAATAATAACGAATGGAGATGATCCAAGTAACTGAACTGCGAAACAAAAAAAAAAAAATCCGCAAGTTCAGAGAATTCCGAAACATAAAAAATTTGGAATTTCTCAAGTGAGAGTATGTGCAGTTTGAAAACAAATGACTGCAGAAGAATTTCCCGTATAAAATAGTTTTTGAATCTAGGAATAACGGTCAAATTTCAAAATCTTCGTTACCCTGGAATGCGTGACTAATAAAAGTAAAAAAAAAATCAGAAATAAGTGCGAATAATGAATTTGAGAAAAAAAAATCGAAATTTCGAATTACGGGAATTGCGAAGGAAAAGATGAATCGAAAAAAAACATTTTCGTAATGTTTTCGGACTTCCAACACCGGAATTTCGAATTACAAAAGAAAAAGAGAAACGCAAATTCCAGATGCTACGCTATTGAGATTTTCCAAAAAAAAAAAAATAGCGGGAAAATGAAATCCAAAAGAAAAGAAAAAAAAATCGATTTCGGCAGTTAGGTCGAAAATCTGTGATTTTGGGGACTAATTAGTGTGTCCTAATCAATCAATCAATCAATCAATCAATCAATCAATCAATCAATCAATCAATCGATCTTCGATTGTCCCCGCGCTTGTGTCAGATCAGGTTGTCCTGATTCACAAGCAGAACTCCGATACCAAACTGATGCATGCCCAATGGGACAATGTGTGGGGAGCCAAGGATCCACAATGTGATGAAAAGGACTGCAATGGACAATGCAAGGTCAGCGTAGCATCAACAAGCAATGTACATTCCGGTACATACAAGATGGCACAAAGTGGCGCAGTGGAAGACGTAAAGAGAAGATTTGATCTGATCTAGACTGACCCGACATCCATCATACATCACACATGTGAGAGGGGAGGAGGGACCGCGAACACAAGAAAAGGTCCCTCCTTCACACACATACATGGGGAGATACCACGGATGCGAGATGGGGGAAAGGGGAACGAGACGAAGGAGGAGGAGGCGAGGGAGTAGACCAAGATCGTGATAGGGAAGTCCCAAAAATAGTCCCTTGTCGAGTGTCCAATCAATGTCTGTCCCAGAAATGTCGAATCAGATCATGGGCAATGTGCCCAACATAACCTTTGCCTGTAATCCCTACCGATGACCTCTCTCACTCTCGTAGACGAAGAAGGTAAGAAAGAGGAGGAAGAAGGAGAAGGGAGAGAGAGAGATGGAGGAAGAAGAAAAAGATGACATCCTCCTTGCTATCTCACCTGCAGGTAGCTATCACCGTACTGATTGTGGTCGTCGTTGTGTGCAGATACCGCGCGGAGCCCAGCTATGGCGCCAGGTAAGTTCGCCGCTTGCAGGTAAGGCCTCCGCCTCTCTCTACTACGTACTGCACAACTCCCTACTCCGTAGCTTGGCGCAGAATAACGCTGCCTCCAACCAGCAGCATGTCGCTCCAGAAGTAAGCTACTCGAACTGCCCTTGCCCAACCGCTGCCCAGCTATTCGTAGCGCTGGGCGGGCTGGGCCTACCTGCTGCTGGCCTCAGAAAACGGCCCGGCTGGTCTGGGGTCCCTACCGGACGTCCAGACGACGCTGCTGATGCAGCAAGGCGCAAAAATGCACCTAGCCTAAAAACGGCCCTGTTCCTGTGCACCTAGCCCAAGGCGTTGCCTTGGAACCTACAGGACCGAAACGACGTCTGTTTGGCGCCAAAATGCACCTGGCCTCGTTTCAGACCCAACACACACACACCAAAAGGTAAGTAAAACCAAGCCTATCTACCTAGTGTGCTACCTAGGGCCTGAAGGGCCGCCGTGGGCCTCCAGGGCGTGTGCTGTATGGTACGCAGCACCTAGCCCAAGGCGTTGCCTTGGGACCTACAGGACCGAAACGACGTCTGTTTGGCGCCAAAATGCACCTGGCCTCGTTTCGGACCCAACACACACACACCAAAAGGTAAGTAAAACCAAGCCTATCTACCTAGTGTGCTACCTAGGGCCTGAAGTGCCGCCGTGGGCCTCCAGGGCGTGTGCTGTATGGTACGCAGCCTGGGGGCTCCTCAGCAACCGTCGGGCCCCTCAAATGGAGCCCGTGTGCAGGCGCAACATGTAACAGTGAAAGAGAGAGGGAGGGGGGGAGGGCTAGGGGGAAGCCGGGGCGGAGTTTGGCCGCGATTTCATTTTTCGTTTACTTTGTTGTTCTTTGTTTTGTGTTTGTGTGTGTGTGTGTGATTGTGTGTGTGTGTGTGTGTGTGTGTGTGTGTGTGTGTGTGTGTGCTGT